ATATACCAACAATAGTGAATAGTAAAGTAACCAGAAGAACAAAACAAGATTGTTGTTGGAAAGGCTACTGTAGGTAAAAAGAGAACCATTCTGCTGATACCGTAAGATTACTTAAAAGATGTAGTAATTAATTTGATGCTACCAGGTTTTCCCCAGGGAATTCTAGTGCCACGATTCAAATTGATTGAATATGTAACTGTTTACTGTTTCAGGTGAAACCAGAGTTTTGGAAGTATATGGCAAGTATTTACTATGACTAGGCTTGGAAGGATAGATTTCCGTTAAAATCTGATAAATGTGAGTAATTGTCCATTTTTCTCTTCCCCTAAAAACCTGTGAAGAATTCAGTCTTAATTGAAATTAAGGAATAAAAAGTTAAAGCATATGAGAAGGGTAAAACTTTCATAAGTGACTTAAGAGCCAGTCCCATTTTCAGAAATCACTTAGGAGCCTCGTCCACTTGAAAGTCAGTGGGACTTTGTTAGGCAGTTCTGAAGGTCAAATTTTCAGATAACTTGTACACTTTTTTTGCTGTTACATTTTATTGACTACCAGATGAAGTTAAGACTTAATTTCTCAATTTATCCTCTTTGTCAGTCACTAAACTTTGAATAACCTGATGTGTTTGATGGTATAAAATCATGTTTAAAATATTTAATTCTTTATTAGTTATCAGCACAAAAAAAATCATATGCATTTAGTGTATCAGTATTAAGCCAGGTGTAATATGTATAATTTTGACCCATCTGTTCGCATAAAAAACTCATCCATAATAAGTTGCTAAACTTACACTGAAATAAAAGAATACAAGTCAGTATCTGTGAGGATTTTGTATTTCCTGTTTAGTGTAAAAAAAATAAGACCGGATAAAAATAAAATACTGGCACTTTTGAATAAATCAACTACCTGTTCAAATTTATAAAATAAAAATAGAATCCTTCCAAGCCTACCCATGCAAAAGCAATGATTGCAGTTAGTTCTTTGATGCTATGGTCCTGCACAGATGGTATAGAAATACCGAACCATTATTCTGAAGTGAATAGAAATACTACAGGTGATAATCTGATAATCACCACAGAATCCAGTTTTGTTGTGTGAAATTGAAACATGTAAAAACTCATCATGAAGGAAGCTGTCTTCTCATTAGCAACTGGCTGACAATGCACAGCAAAAGCAAAGCAAGCAGGCAAGATTTAGTAAACATAACACAGGAGCAGTAGAAGTAGGAAGACATTAACTTAAGATATCCAGGAACCGTAACTCATTTAAGCCTTCCATTGACTTTAGCGAGTTTTGTTTCAGGTCTGCAGGATCCAAGAGGGAAGCCAGTAGTTGAGGGGGAGGTGGCAGGTTCTCTCAGACCTCCATACCCAGTAAGACTAACTTGGAAAGTTCAACTACCCCTCATCCACCATAGTCAAAGTAGGCATCCCTGGCAGACCAACTAAATTAAACTGTTTGGTAAAGTTATGTAAAAACTGTCTGTACTATAGTATTTGCAATACATGTTTTTGAATTTGTTTTGCATTTGCAGATATTGTACATCTTTAAATCCGCTCTTGTAATTCTGCTTCTATTTAGGCAGGTGAATCCTGCCCTGTAGCTGAACTTCATGTTCAGGATGGGGACTAAGCTCTGCCGCTGTCCAGAACTTTGTCCAACTGCAGACCTGACAAAATTTACAGGAATGGGAGCAATTTCAGATCCCACCTATTGCCCCAGTCTTGCTGTAACCACTGCTCAAAGCATCTCCGAGGTGAGATGAAGAACTGAATGAAGATTTGGCTCACTATCTGTGGGGCCTACCACAGGCACAGAAACATGAAGAGAAATTCTTCTGAGATGCATTAGCTGAGCTGCTCCTACTTAACGTCTAACATTTGTTAAAATTTCTGCCACTCCCCGATTAATAAATATATCCTCTCACTGCCCCAGCCCCCCATCCTCTGTCTTACACGCCTCAGCGTGCCAACCAGTCCTTGTGGCTCCGTAGAGCCGGGGATGATGGTTTCATTCACAAGATTAAGAACCTGGCCCAGGATTCATGGCATGTATTCCCCATCTGCCTGGGGCAGGGAATATGGCACTGGAGGTGGGAATTGGGACACTTGGCTTCTCAGCTTTGCCACTGCTTACGTATGCTTATCTCTTGGGCAAGTCACTTAGCCTCCTCATGCCTCAGTTACCCCATCGGTAATCTAAAGGAGGAGGGTGGAACCCAGCCTGGAGCTCTGCAGATACAAAGGGCTCAGTATTAAGCTGCAGGAGCCAGGGGTAGAGAGACTGTGTGCAGGTCACAGGTGGAGGGAGATGATTTGTTGGGGGTGGGGATAGCTCAGTGGTTTGAGCATTGGCCTACTAAACCCAGGGTTGTGAGTTCACTCCTTGAGGGGGCCATTTAGGGATCTGGGGCAAAAATCTGCCTGGGGATTGGTCCTGCTTTGAGCAGGGAGTTGGACTAGATGATCTCCTGAAGTCCCTTCCAACCCAGATATTCTATGAAACATCCTCCTATGAATTTTTTGGTTAATTAGGCTAGCTGCTGGGGAAGAGTTTGGAGGCAGAGAGCAACTTGAGAGATCACCACCCCCTTTACTCTCAGCACTGTTGGATATACGCTGCTTTAGCTCACTGGCATACAAGGAATGGGTCTAATGAAGTAGTGTGTACACTAGAGAACTAAAATAATAGTTCCAGCTAGTAATCCCAAACACAGTTTAATGTTTAGGGTGTGGATTGTAGCACCTTTTTGCCTACTAATATAGTTAAAACTTAATTACAATGATAGCTAGAAGAAACTAAGAAATCTAATATCTCCCCTTATGTAAGACTTTCCCCATTTTCAAGTGGGAGAAAGTTCTTCAGAAATCAAATCTAAGTAATGTCCTGTATTTTTTCTTATATAGTATGTAAAGTATAGTAGACCCCAACAATTTACTGTGCACACTACAGTAACAGGTAAAAGTTTTCTGAACAGTGTTTGTTTTTCTGAGTAGTTTTCTCTCTCTCTTTTCTGGAAAAAAGTGACTTAATATTCTCTAATCAAGTCCCCAGCCTAAAGGGTAATTTCATCACACTTAATCTTAATAAGTATAAATGTAGAGTAATTCAGGAATTACGTATAAATAGTCCCAGTAACAGTTTTTTCTTAACATTTTAGTTGTCTTGTTACCTGCAAGTTTTTTCGGGGGAGGGGAGGGTTGCCCATTCTGTTCACTATCGATGACATGTTCTCTATCCATAATCTCCATGAACCTGGATCTGTTGATAATTCTTTTCTTCCATGAAAGAACTACCTGTATATACAAAATTCTCTCATGGTAATTCATTTATGGACACCCATCTTAGGAACAGCTTAATTGTTCTTGCTGCATAAAATTGGATCCAAGTTGAAGAGCTGACAGACTATAATGTGGTGAATGTTTTCTCCTTTCTTCAGATGTGCAGTGTAGGCTTCATGATTGTGTCATGAGACAGTCCAATAGTAAGTTATGAACCTACTTCCTGCATCTATAGCATTGGATGCATCAGGTAGAAATGTGCTTGTGAGAATTTAATATAACCTCAGTATTGCATTTGGTTGTACAAAAGTACAACTTTCATTCTGTTTAAAATCTTCGAGAGCCAATTTCACAACTGCTCCTTGGTCTTCCAGGGGTTTAATATTTTCTACTTGATGTAGGAAACAGACCTGTCTCTTGTGATTCTTCCAAATTTTTAAAATTTTCCTGATTGTCCTGTTCCTTCCCAGGACTTCCTCAATTTTTTTTATCAAATCACAACTTTGGAGAAGCTTGAGACTTTTATACCCCTGGCATTGAATGACTCAGATGCCAAAAAAAGTTGCCATAGATATTTAAACCTCTGTATAATTAAGTTATTAAAGGACTGAACATCCAAGACTACATAATCAAAATAAGTTAACTGAACAGAACACATTTATGAAAAACAAGTCTGTAAGGCTTTTGGTAAGCCTCTCAACCACCATGTTACATAATTTTACCAACTTGAGATGCAAGTATTGTTGAGTAAGTGTCACACTGCATTAGCAACAGAGTTAAGTTATTAAATTATAGATATCAAGAAAACTGATGCCCAAAAATGAGCTGTTGCTGGAATTACAAATCAAAACATTAAGAAGGAAAAAAATAGAAATAGCACAAGATATCTGAATTGCAGGAATGCTGTATGATAACTTTAAGTAACTGAATTAGTTTCTTTGCCTCTCAGTACAATGTTGGGTTTCTCTTCTCAGTTCTCTCTTTGAAGGGAAAAATATGAAGAAGTTTCATTTTAATTATTCTTGATATAGCACATGTTCACAACCCAGATTTTTTCTTAATATTTATAAATACCAGTGACAGTAAGCAATCCCTTCCTTTTTCTTTACAGTTTATATTTAAAGGAGTATTGTTCAGTATAGAATACTAATACACAATAAGGCATTGGAGAATAGCTTTGAATTTTTTTCACATTACTACAGTCTGGTTTGTGATTATTGTCACAATTTTATTGTGCTTTTCTAAGAAGCACATTTATTTCAGTTTTCCATGGACTTTGTCCAGCTAAAGTTTTCTTAAATTTTTTTTCAGGTTGTTATATTTTGAAAGGGAACTGTTTCTTTTGCTTTCAGGCTCATCTACTACTGGTGATTCCATATGGTCTGGCCATTCCCCGCCACCACATCAAGAAAACTGGGTCAGTTTTGCAGATACCCCACCAACCAGTACTCTTTTAGCCATGCATCCTGCTTCTGTCCAGGTGTGACATTTTATTGGTATTCATTTGATTTGCTTCATTCAAATTAATGTTGCAATCATCTTTTTCATACTTTCACTGCAGACTCATACTGTGGACCCAAATTTACTATGTTGTGGAGGTCAGAAATCTGTTCTAGGCTTATTTACCCAACAGATACTTCTGTATCATTGAGTTGTTAAATACTATACCTTATCATCTAGGAAAGTTCTTTTCAAAATTAAAAAATTGCTAACGTTTGAAAAGCCAAATTTAAAAGGAACTGAGAATATTTGTACTTCGCTTTCTCTGCATACACTCCATACCTTTTTGTTGCTTACATAATTGCAGTCACTTCTACACCATTTAATGTGCAGAAATATTTCCTATAGCTTGATAGTCCCAAATATGCAATCTGCTGACAGCTTCCTGCAACACTTAAACTTCTACAAGAAATAACTAAGCTTTGAAGGCAAGTAGTCTAGAGACAATGGCAGTCCATGTGATTGTTTTAGACAGATAATACTGAGGAAAAAATGTTTCATTGCAGGACCAGACAACAGTACGAACTGTAGCATCAGCTACAACTGCAAATGAAATTCGTAGGCAATCGAGTAGTTATGATGATCCCTGGAAAATAACTGATGAACAAAGGCAGTATTATGTAAATCAGTTTAAAACCATTCAACCTGATCTAAACGGATTTATTCCAGGTGAGTTCTTTAAACGCAGAAGTTACTGTAGGTATAGCAATTTTGTATTCTCAAAGACAGCGTGCTGGTGGACATGGATTTATATACCATTTTGTAAGAAGTCCTACTTTTACTAAAAGTATTGGTACAATACAGCTCCATTGTGAGTAAAAAAACTGAAGCTTTGAAACTAATTTTTCTATATAATAGGTCAGCTTTGTCAGTCTTACTCTTCTAATTAGCACCCTTTGCTAAATTGTTTAATTGTTTTTACCATAAACTTTAAGAGCCTTAGGTTGGTAAGCTTGCAATAAATATTAAGCGTTATTGTTTTAATATTTCAGGGTCTGCAGCTAAAGAATTTTTTACCAAATCAAAACTACCTATTCTTGAGCTTTCTCACATTTGGTAAGTGTGAAGTGTCAAAGTTTGGGGTAGCTATTTTTGAGAACTGCAGCTATTTCATATTAGAGCTTGTCTGACAATCAGTCGGCACCTTTCATCTTCCTTCCTAGCAAGTGTCACCTGCACAAAATGCCAGTGCTATTCTAGTGTCAATCCTGTTCCCATTTAAGACAATATTACATTTTCCACTGACTTCAGTGGGATCAGGACTGGGCCCCTACTTACCAGGGAGCTAGAGCCCACAATGTCAGGTACTTCACACAACCAAAATGTGTTGAAATTGCATGGAAAAAGACGCATTTTTGTCATGCGTATTTCATTTAGTCACACATGCTTCTGGGTAAATTTGTTAAAGTCCCACAACGACTTAAACACAAATCTTACTCTTCATTTCAGTGTAGAATGAGTGCTACAATGCGAGACATGCTCATTCAATAACTTGTCCACAACAGATTTTGTCTCCTTCGTTAGCTCTTCAGATAACTTACATTTTGGATTCTAATTTAAGTAAGATTGTTCCCTCATTAAATAAAAGTATGTGAAGTGTCAGACTGTAAAATCTACATGCTGAAAAACTGCTATATTATAATCTGCCACTAACTTACTTGATGCAGATAGTGCTGAGCAGAACCATAAGTGCTTAAAAATGCAGAAAATAAGGATAGTAAACTAAAGACTTAGCAATGTAACATGAAATGAGTTTAAACCCAGTCATTAATTTTAAAACCTGTCATTAATGAGGACTCATCTCTGTTAAAGAACACTCAAAATGCATAGCACTGTAGGTCCTAAGTATTAACATGTGAAATGGAATTGTATAAAACACACATCTAACAATCTTTTAGATAAGGCAACAAAAGTATATAACCTGAAAATAAAATGACTTAGAGAGGAATTTGATTTTATTTATAGTAAGTTTTCCTTTTAGGGAACTGTCTGATTTTGATAAAGATGGCGCATTGACACTGGATGAGTTCTGTGCTGCTTTTCATCTGGTAGTTGCTAGGAAGAATGGCTATGACTTACCTGAAAAACTACCTGAAAGTTTAATGCCCAAACTGATTGATTTGGAAGACACAACAGGTAAGATGTGTGTTACTAAAGAAACTTCATTGTATGTCCAGATGACAATCCAGTTACAGTTACAATCAAATAGCTGGTATTTGCAGAATTGCAAATAAACTTAGAAGTTTAAACTTATTTTGTGATGGTACATGAAATGATCCACTCTCCTGAGTCATGTAATACATGAGGGTAAAACTTTCAAAAGTGCTTGCTTGTCTTGAGAGTTTTAATGCTTAGTACTTAAATGCCAAAGTCACTTTTGAAAATAGAACTTAGGCTCCTAAGTCATATAAATGCTGGTGAAGATATTACCTATAGCCAATGTTACCTATAGGCGAAGAAGGATGGCTTTGTAGTTAGAGCACAGGGGATCTGAATACTATTCCTAGCTCTGCCACAAACTTCTGTGGCTTTGGATAAGCTATTTAATCTTTCTGTGCCTGTTTCCCTACCTGTAGAATGGACTACTTACTGACAAGGATGTGATGAGTCCTGTTCATTAATATTTGTAAACCACTTTGATTTTCTTGAATGGAAAATGCAAGCTACCGTTTCCTGTAAATGGTGTGTATATATAGAAGTAAATTTGTTTTGTACTCATCTTTTGCTTCTTTATGGTGCATAAAGAAGCCCTGAATTTTATTTTAAATTTTTACTTCAGAAATACCAAACTTGCTTTGAAAGTTAAATCTTTTTTTTTTTGCGCTGGAGGACTTACTTAAATTTAATGCCAATTATTGTAATACTTAATGCACTGAATACATATTTAATACCAAAAAAATTTCATCTGTCTCAAAATGCTTACCAGGGTGGGAAAATACTAGCCTCATTTTACAGATGAGGAAACTGAGGTGTGCACAGCCTATAGAAGGGCAGAGAATGGAAACCATTCTGTGCCCTCTGTGTTTTTTTACTGTAGAAGGGCCAAGAAAATTAGAATGGGAGCTTCTTTGGTCCTTCATATGAACATGCTGAGTAACTGAAGCTTTAACAGCTATTTGCTATGACAGTTGTAAAGTATGACCATAAAGTTAGTTAAATTTGGAGGAAGTGGTTTTCAGGTGTCACTTCCTTGTTACTGGTGACTTTTATCAGCCTAGTTTACCGGTCACTGATAGTCTTCTAGGGAAAAAAATTAGACAAGATTTAGCAATCCATAGAAACCAATTGGGCCATGACACACATCATAAAGGATACAAACTTGATTTGTATTTCCTCTTATTTCACTTTTAAGGACAGTAGCAAATTAGTACTACTACTAAATCTTAAACCTTAGTAGTTTGGCCAAAAAAAATCTTTTTTAAATCAGTAGGAATACAACTTTTCTTCTGCTATGGGTGTGCATGGTACGGTGGCCACTGTATAGGGATATCTTGACTATTTTTAGTGGTCATTCTTCAGTGTTTTCCTCTGAGCTGAAGTATTTGTCGTGTCTTTGTTAAAATGATTTAGATATTTGATATAGGTAGCTCTATAAGTCAGACACCCTTCTTCCCTCTGCTTCAAAAGTAAGAATTAAACTTCTGGCTTTCAGTTATGTGCCAAGTTTCTACCTAAGTGCAAAAGCAGTCTTTCTTTTTTTGTTAACTTCAAAATTTTAGAGGCATTCTTCCAAGCTTTAATTTACTGATGCCTGCTTCTAAAGACAAAAGCTGTATTTGAGCCTCCAAGTTTGAATTTGAAACTTTCATTTAATCTTTTTCACACATGTAGCAGTTTAAGAGCATTGAACATTTATTTGGGTTGTCTGCATTAGACAGTTGTACAGCTTTAAGTGGAGCAGCTCCCCGACTGTGTACTCTGTTACATGAGTATAAAGGTGCTTTTTACTGGTACACCTCTACCCCGATATAACACTAATTCGGATATAACGCAGTAAAGCAGTGCTCCAGGGAAGTGGGGCTGCGCACTCCGGCGGATCAAAGCAAGTTTGATATAATGCAGTTTCACCTACAATGCGGTAAGATTTTTTGGCTCCCAAGGACAGCATTATATTGGGGTAGAGGTGTATAACTACTCTCATATGGGAAGAATAACCATACCAGTGTAAGTTATCTTTATACCTGTATAACTTCATCTGCCCTAAGGCTTTTACCTGTGTTACTGTTTTTTAGTACACCTCTACCTCAATATAACGCTGTCCTCAGGAGCCAAAAAAATCTTACAGCGTTATAGGTGAAACTGCATTATATCGAACTTGCTTTGATCCACTGGAGTGCACAGCCCCCGCCGCCCTCCCGGAGCACTGCTTTACCGCTTTATATCCGAATTTGTGTTATATCGGGTCGCGTTATATCGGGGTAGAGGTGTAGTAGTAATCAACTCAATAGTTATACTTTGAAGTGTAGACCAGACCTTAAACCAGAAAGTTTTGCAGCTAGCTGCAGCTCCATCTAAAATTTGTGAAAATTTCCTAGTCAAAAATGCTATAATGAGCTCTATATATGAGGTGTGAAGTGGCCTTCCAAACCAGGGGAAAGCTTTTCCAAAATAAAAATCAAGATGGCATTATGAAAAGTGACAACTCCTGACACATTACTGTGAGAGTCTAGTATGGTGGATATTCTGTGACCCACTCCACCAATCCTTGCTGTGCTTGCGAAGGTCTCATGTCTTGCTTCATGTAGGCAACTCTAGAATATTCTTAGAGCTCACTTGCTATTTTATTTAAATGGGGTGACTTGAGTGCACTCACGGTAAAATGTTCAGTCTTTAGTGAATTAAGATCTTTTCTTTGAGTAGGATTAAGGGCTCTAGCAAAAGTTACTGGTGGAACTCAATTGTTGTAGCAAGCCCAGTGCAAGCCCCTAGTTATAGATGCATTTAAACTTGTTAGTTGTTTATATTGATTTAAGCTAATACATTTAGTTTAGTTGGCAGATCAAATTACATGGATTCAACTTTTCTACTGCAAACCAGCCTAAAGAGATGAATAAATTGAGCTTCTGTAATGCTTGTGTGAAAGCCACACTACAGTAAAACTTGTTTTCAACAGCCTTCACACAAATGTAAGATTTTTTTTTCAAATTCAATTGATGGTATTTGAGCATTTGATTGAGGCCTCTACTTGCTGCCACAATTTGACGAATAATGGACTGTGAAAATTATTTTAAGAGCAGAATGATTTGAGTAACATCACTGGCTTTTCCCTTTTGTATCAAATTGAAGTTTCTCATCCTCTGTTTCAAGGATCTGAAAAATGACACCCTTACTGCTGTCTGTCCTTTTCTTAATTGATTTTTTCTTTGTCTCCCATGCTGCTGTGCCTATGCTTGGAACTCACTGTCTGCTCTTACATGTTTTGGCCAAATTCCTCCTTTAAACATTGCATAACCACATACTTTTTGTGATCAGAAAGTATGTAACAAATCATATTTAAGCTGCTACCTTCAATTCTTGGATTAAACCATTGCCTGATCATGCAGTGTACCTTTTAAACAGTGCTTCTACCTTCGACTAGATCAAGGGTTCTCAAACTAGGGGTCGGGACACCTCAGGGGGGTCACGAGGTTCTTACATGGGGGGTCGCGAGCTGTCAGCCTCCACCCCAAGCCCCGCTTTGCATCCAGCATTTATAATGGTGTTAAATATATAAAAAAAGTGTTTTTAATTTATAAGGGGGGTCACACTCAGAGGCTTGCTATTTGAAAGGGATCACCTGTACAAAAGTTTGAGGACCACTGGACTAGATTGTATAGTCTCTGGGGCAGAGATGACTTTCCTGTCTGTTATTGCATCAAGCATGATGAATTGCAAACGCTAGGGGAAGAAGATAATCAAACGTCAAGTAAAAGTAAGCTTTCCATGCACTACTACATTTAGAGAGAAAATACTGTCTACAACATCTTGGGGCCACTTAGGATTTCACACAAATCATAGTCCTAGAGTTTAAGGCCAGAAAGGACAACCAGATCATCGAAATAGAGGCCTCAGATGTATGTAATAATTCTATAGTATCTTAGTCTACATTGCTCTCCTCTAATGTGTTGAATATTTGAATGGGGTCACATCAACAGTTTTCTCCTCAGATACCTCAAAAGCTGGAGGATTACTGTTTGCATTATAGTAGCTCTAAGGAGCCTCAGTCAGAATCAGGACCACACTGTGCAAGGGGCTGTGCCAGTATACAAGACTTTGCCCTAAATAATTTACAAGGTGTCACAGAGTGAAAACAAACAGGGAAGGAAAGGAAGACGTGAATTAAAAATATAGGAGCATCAGGTCAGACTAGTTGTATGTACACTTAGCATGTTTGAAGTCTCATGCTGTTTATGTTTATAAATAAATTATATCAGTATTCTTGTTGACTGCTGGCTTGGGTGACATCTTATGGTCTGTTGCACTGAAACGTGCAGTAGTTTACATTTCAATTCCTGTTATGTGAGTAACATTTTTAATGCCTTCCACTCTCAGCTGAGAATAGAGCCTTAAACCATTCACATAATTCAGAAGCAGTTCCATTATTTTTTTCTTGTAAATTTGCATTCAGGCCAGGTTACTGCAGTAATGCCATTTCCTTATAAGAAAAACAAGCTAAATCTGTTCCTTTCTTGGATGACTATCGAGGTACATCTGTTTGGAAGTAGCAGTTGCCTTACTTATAGGTTATGGATCTGTGGAGACCTGAGGAATTTTCCCAGAAAATAAGAAATTTCTGCAGGGGTTGGAGTGGGTGCTTTTCAGACTTAATTTTTCATTATTTTACAATGTCAAGTTAGAAAGTGATAAACTTACAGTACTTTCTAGCTTATTAAATTAAACCTTTGCTCCTGGACCATATTTTGTATAAAGCCTACCTAATCCTTCAATCTACCTGTAGGAATAATAATAATAATAATTATGAATAATAATATAAGTTATCGCCACAACACCAATTGAACCAAAATTCTTTTATTGAATCTAAAGGCCGAATGGTCTTTATACAGCTGCTGCAAATGTGCCTTAAATGCCTAAACAATCATCATAGTTGGTCATTTGGACCCATTGTTCAAGAAAGCCATTTTGGAGGAATTGGGTCT